TTAAAATGATTTTTTGTGTAGAATGCATTGACAATTTTTACAAAATTGAATATATTTTGAAATTTTTTTACTATAGGAACGCATTGAAAATGATTTTGCTATTAAGAATACGTTGGAATTTATTTTACTATTAGGACTGCATTGGACATGATTTTGCTGTCATTGGGAATTGTTTTTACGTGTCGGATAGATTGAAAATAATTCTATTTTAAACCCTTGAAATATTTTTACTTGCACTGGTAAAGAATTTTATTTTAGAAATGAGCTGCTAAAATTTTACACGACATAAATCGATCGCGTTTTTAATAGATTTGCACTGAAAGTGATTTCGGAATAGAAATGCCTAGAAAATCAGCAAATTAGGTATTTTCGACCGACTAAAGTTAAAGAGAGCGTTACAAACAGACAAGAATGTTGCTCACACGTCTGTTTTATTACTCGGCCCTTCTTTGTTGACTCTCCATTATACTCTGGCGAAAATAACATGAATTATTATAAAGGATATAAAAAAAAAAAAAAATAAATAAATACATCTTGGTGATGGGAATTGACTGTTCATTCCGTCTCAGAAAAGATGAGTTCCTTTTGTTCATCATACGAGAGAATAATTTTCTGCTTCAAATTAGAGTTATTCATTGCAAATATATTGACGATAAATTTTTAAATAGAAACAGAATGACGTCAGAAGAAAAAAAAATACAAAGTCGTTGCCTCATTTTACATGCTGCGCATTAGCATAAGATCGATGGATGAGAAATGGGAAAGAGGGCGAGGAGATGTTTTTATTTTAGGGATAACGAAAATCAAAAAGACGTGGGAGAGAAAAGAAAGGCTTAGAATATATGTGTAAGTCGAGTGTGAGGGAGAGATTGAATAATTAATAATAATAATAACAATAAAAAATTTCGTTGTCCGAATTCTGGGAAGATGAAAAAGATAGGGAGAGAAATATGAAATATTTGGGGCAGATATTAATAGGGAGTTAAAACATTATTGTATCCTTAAGATCCAAAATAGCATTGCAATTTTAAATCAGAGAAATCCTTTACTTGGCACAAGCTTATAGGGACCTAATTTTGCGGTTATCTTAGAAATTTTTCATTTTCCTTTTCAGTTAACCATTGAAATCTAGTAGTATTTTCCACTTTTCCCCAAAAAAGATACCTAATTTGAAAATATGCATTTTTAAAAAAAAAAAAAAAAATATTGCGGCATTTATTTTAGTCTTATTTCCAAGCTAACAGATTAAATTTAATATTTCCAATAAGAAATTTCTGAATACCAAACCGAATTTAAATTGGAACGATTTTGGGGATTTTCAGTAAAAATCACTAAAACCGACTATATTAACAAATCTGTCAACACAGCATAATTCTCTGTGTTAAAAAGTCTTTCAAAAATAAAATGTAACTTGCCGAAACGTATATTTGAGAAAAATTAGCTGATTTAAAGTTTATTTAACCTGACCTGAAACAAATGTTACTAACATATAGTTTAAAATATCGTAGAAAAGCATCGGTTGGTCTTTTTATCAGGAGTTGACACATTTATCGACAATCTGATGCTTGGAAAAGTTATGCCAGGAGATAATGAAGATAAAATTACATGACGAATACAACGTAAAGACCTAAATAACATTTCGCTAACTAAATGAACCCACTAACCACTCGATAAATGTTACAATCCTTGTCTTTAAAATTATAAACTGTATTAGATATTTCGCCATCTTATATCATTAACTTTACTTATTTACATTTTGTATGAACGATCCATTGTAATATAAATTAAACTGTGCCACATATTTGACATATATATATATATGGAGGTACGGAGGAGTAATGGATAGCGGCTTAGATTGAGAAATCGCAGAGCCGAGTTCGAATTCCAGTCGAATCCATTATACGTTCTAATACCCTTGGGAAAGGTATGAATCTCCCTCCAGCTATGGGTAAATAGCAGGATATACTGGGTTCTATAGCCTTGGATGGCAACTGGTCAAGGAGGACAACTCTGAATTCAAAACCTGAGGAGGGTCGTTTGGGGACCTTGTGGCATTTAGTGCACCAGGTCTCTGAATTCAGCCTTTCAAAAAGTGTGGCTGGTCCTGCACGAAACCTTCACCTTCATAATCAAAGGCTATAATCAATATATATAGCCCTGACGATTGTGTCTAGCAATGAAAAAGCCTGTCGCCTCTGAGTGTTGATGATATCGGACTGGATCAAGGTCGATCCCAGCGTGCAGCATATTTGGAAAGTGCCTGAAAACCTTACCATGGGTTTACCAAAGCCTTGTGAGTGAAAAATAAAATTCCAAATCGATCTAGCACGAAGTCATACGTCATCGTGACCGAGAGTTTGAGCATGCTGGCCACGTTAGATAACACGCTCTCTCCCAGAAACTGTAACTAAAGTCTGCTCAGTATAATTGCATAAACCACAGATGTGCTATATGGGTGGTGAACAAACACAAATGTGCCTGAGACAGAGTCTGCAATAGGGATTGGCTAGCCGCTCTAATAGACTGGTATCCTCGAATACAAGTGGCCAGCTTTATATATATATTATATATATATATACAAAAATACCAACTATATATATATATATATATATATATATATATATATATATATATATATATATATACCCATTAGGATGAACATTTCTGAAAATTACTATTCTTAAAAGAGTGCTCAATACATAGTAGAGCAAATATAATTATTTATTCGAAAATTATAAATATTTGTTATAATTTTTAAATAAATAAATATATATATATATATATATATATATATATATATATATATATATATATATATTGAGAGAGAGAGAGAAGGGGGAAAGAAGAGCATGGGTAATACAATAAATGTATAAAATATAGAAATATATAAAAATTATAACATAAATTGTTATGATTTTTAAAAATAAATATATATATATATATATATATATATATATATATATATATATATATATATATATATATATATATATATATATATAATTATTGAAGAGGTGGAGAAGAAGAACATGGGTAATACAATAAATATATAAAATATAGATAGAGGGGTGGCGGTTCGGGATGAGAAATCAGAGAACTGAGTTCGAATTAGGCATGAATTTATCTCTCTTCGCCCCACTATATATGGATATTTGGCTCTGTGCTAGCACACCTATCGACGGCCCTCAGGAGTTCCGTCTACCCACTTTCACTCACAAGGCTTGAGTCAACACGCGATATGTTTTTCAGGTGCCGTATGCTGGGATCGACCTCGATCCAGTCCGATAATACCAGGAAGTCTCCTTCCTGATAAATCGACCATGGTGAGATTCGAACCCGTTCTAACCCCTCAATATATATATATATATATATATATATATATATATATATATATATATATATATATATATATATATAAAAAATCTCCAAAAAAAGCCATTTTGTTTCAATACTTCTGAACAATCAAGGATGGTGT